ACTGCGGCCGGGTCCCCCATCCCTGCACTGCGGCCGGGTCCCCCCATCCCTGCACTGCGGCCGGGTCCCCCCATCCCTGCACTGCGGCCGGGTCCCCCATCCCTGCACTGCGGCCGGGTCCCCCATCCCTGCACTGCGGCCGGGTCCCCCATCCCTGCACTGCGGCCGGGTCCCCCATCCCTGCACTGCGGCCGGGTCCCCCATCCCTGCACTGCGGCCGGGTCCCCCATCCCTGCACTGCGGCCGGGTCCCCCATCCCTGCACTGCGGCCGGGTCCCCCATCCCTGCACGGTCCTGTCATACCTTTTAAGCCCTATATAATCGTAACAGCTTAACTCTCCTGACTGCTTTATTTACTGTAAGCACAAACACTGCACAGTTCACTTTACACACAGTAAGTGGGGTTTGGGTCCTGGCCAGGGAGCATTGACTATACATCAATCCTTAACTGTTGGTTCACCAAGCAGTAATTGGGTGCTTGGTTGTTAACCAATTAGCCAGTTGAATTCTAGGGAAAAATGGGTAAGGCTTACCATTAGCTCTCAGCATGTTATCAGTAATCAGTTCCAGTACCCACCCATGTAAGGAGAAAAAGAAAAAGATACCAAATCCAATACAAGTTCTGAATAAATCTTTAAACTATTGATTATGTGGTACAGATTTGGTCCATACTCTAAATTTGAATGTTATTTAAAGACATTAAAGTGCATTAGGAATATTTTGGCCAACTACCTACTATCTTATTAATTACATGAAGTTAGCAAGTGGTGTTGAGGACATTACAGTAGTCCCAGGCAGGTAAGGTGGTCACTGCTTGGTAAGCACTGGTGTCAAATGAAAAAAGGATTGGTCCTCATGGCAGTGTCCCACTTGTAAGAGAATGAGGTCATGGGAGGTGTGCCACACCAGTGTCCAGCTAGTGGAGACATGTGTCTTACACGTGTACACTAAGAGGAACCCAGCCAAGGAAGCTTTACCCCAGTGGTTTCAGCCTCTTTCAGTGAATCAGTGATTCAGCCTCCAAGTCCCGTACCGAGCGTGGCACCTCGTGGATCTGCATCCACAATCCTAAGGTTCGGAAATTATCTGCACATTATGGCTTTGTATAAATTAACAAGTGCACCTACACTGCACTACATTTATCACATTACAAATGTACTTTTATAAATAAAATTTATCCAGTATTATTAGCCACACACATTGGTGAGCAGTGCACAGTTAGCTTATGCATCACTTAAGATTAATTAATTGTAAACAATTTTACATTTTATAGATTCTCAATTCACACACCTTTATCACCACAAACTTCAGTTGCATCAAAGTCATAAAAGGATATTGTACACTACAAAGCTACTGTAAAATATTAAATACTCTGTAGTCTCAATTTTTAAAGGAGAATTTGACAACTAATTACAGTGACCTTATTACTAATCTTTCCTTTGCCATAGCAGGCTTTCCTTTCCTTTGGCAGCAGGCCATATTCCACTTGAGTGGGACTAAGGTACTGCTCAAAACAAAAGGTCTCTGTAAAACACTAAATTGTATGACCATCACAAATGCTTGCATAAAGGGGGAACTATAAGGAGAAAGCACCAAGCCATTACAACTATATAGCACTTGGAAAGGATCACAATAAGGATTTGAGATGGGACGGGGGAAGGAATGGTGCCCAATCACCGACAGTCGGGGATTCAACGCCGACCAGCATGAAGCGAGACCATACACCGTCCAGCCCAAGTGGTTGGGCATGCTTGTATAAAGTTCCCTGGGAGAAAGATTTATGCAGGAGCAGCAATATGCAGGAGCAGCAATATGCAGTTTACCTTGTGCATTATGGGCAAAATGACAAAACTTGAACTTTGAATCTGAGGTTAACGTAAGTACTGTATACAATGTATTAAATACAACTTCAATCCATGTCACATAGGCCAGTAGCTAAAATGCAGCAGGCCATGGCCCTCAAATTTAAAGAAATTAAAGATGTACATATTACAGTTGCCACTGGCAACAATTTGCAAGATCTGTTAAAATCATTTACTATTTAGATATTAGACCACAGAACACTTAATCCTAGACGAGACTGATCGTCTAAGAACAATCGGACCAAAAACTGCACTTGCAATCAATATTTAGCAAAACGTGCAACAATCGAACACTTAACTGATCAACTGCTAAGTCTTAACAGTCTACATTTATTTTAATCTAACAGTTTAAAATAAATGTATTATTCAACATCAAGACTACTAACTGGTTTTATACTATTGAAGGCAAACTAAGTATGAGAAAGCACCAAGCCAGAAAAAAATTACAAGAAAATGCTAAACCTGCATAACTAGCACATGGAAAGGACATGTGGACAAGAGTCGAGAATACAAGAATGGCAGGAAGGAATGGTGCCCAACCACTTTAATCTAGGATCTAAAAAAAAAAAAAATTTAAGCTTCACTGTACTATCCTGTCCAAGTAATTGTGCTAAGTCAAGATGACTACAGCACTGAAGGAATACAAGGAGCTGGGATATGAACATGGCATTAAATATATTATACTGCCAAAATGAAAAATGCAGAGAATACCAAGTATTTAACTTGAACACGAAAAATTTGGACAAAATAGCACGTGTAGCAATTAAACTTCCTCCTAAATGTTGGGTATAATTGTATACTACACACTATACATCTTTACATAAAATTAGCATTAAGAAATGGATACAGAAAAGCCTTTGATGCTGTTCTGGACCCAGCCAACCTTTCAGAATTACCGTTTACATACACCTATTAATATACAATACAGTAAAGAACTAGACAGTTTTTACAACCTACTTAGTTTTCAAACGTTTGGGCTACAACCACCACTAGAGCAAAAGATTCAGCAGGCTCATTGTCATCTTGAGATGAGGTTATCTTGAGATGATTTCGGGGCTTTTTAGTGTCCCCGCGGCCCGGTCCTCGACCAGGCCTCCACCCCCAGGAAGCAGCCCGTGACAGCTGACTAACTTCCAGGTACCTATTTACTGCTAGGTAACAGGGGCATTCAGGGTGAAAGAAACTTTGCCCATTTGTTTCTGCCTCGTGCGGGAATCGAACCCGCGCCACAGAATTACGAGTCCTGTGCGCTATCCACCAGGCTACGAGGCCCCAATGTCAATTTCTCATTATCACTACACCTGTCAGTTGCTGCATCATATTACAGATTTTTAGGGAGAGGCTTTGGCGAGACCTTGCTGTACCCGAGCCCGACACCCAGAACACTAATTTTAAGATGTAACAGCTCAAACTGACAACACAATTGGCAAAAAATATCAAGATTTAACAGGGAAGATTCCTCTTCCTGACCCTTATTAGAACAAATATTGGCAGTACAATACATGCTTACAAACAGGACCACATTTAACATGGTCTAACCACAGGACTGCCAGTCCTCCTGTCCCCTACCACCACATCCTCATCCTTGCCAGTGACGTCCCACTTGCAGGATCAAACCAGAATTCACAATATTCACATCCTAAGTAACAAGAGTTCTGTTATTTCAAACAAACAAGATAAATAGGTATTTGACAAGACCCTTAATTTTATCTAGTCCACTATGGGTGCAGAGGGGGGGGGGGGAGACTGGCAAGTTGGCAAGTTCAAAGGGTTGGACAAGGATTTCGGGTGCCCTGGTGTGGGGGAAGGGGGCAGAAGAGGGGGGGGTTGCCCAAGCTAGCATGGGGGGGGGGTTAAAAGATCGGTAACGAACGAGTCCCAAAAATAAATTGGATAAATTTGCACGTGGAATCTAGTGAAATCAAACTGGTGCCTGTCTTCATTTACCAGCTGAAAGTAACAATTACACAGATCACGTTAATGCGATATATCGAACACATCCACAGGAGCCTACATGGTGGTGCAGTCTACTAGATCGCGCCTTGACCCACCCGCCCACCCCAGAGGGTCCGACCCATCCTCACGTGCTCCACCAAGCTCTCGCCATCCTTCATTAATATTTGGTGGCATACTACGCAATGACAACATGGAAGGCACATGCGACGATGACAATTTTATCCTGGCCCTGGTGTCAAACTATAACGACGCTGTGGAAATACTTTAAAAGTTTAGTGGCTCGAGTTAAAAATAAAAATGAGCTATCGAACTCTCGACTGGTTAGTTAAGCGACCTCACAACGTGCCCTTCACCCCGGGATAGACGATAAATTCACGGTAAACACACACACGACTAACCCCACACATCACACATGACTACGCGACCAACCCCACACATCACACATGACTACGCGACCAACCCCACACATCACACATGACTACGCGACCAACCCCACACATCACACATGACTACGCGACCAACCCCACACATCACACATGACTACGCGACCAACCCCACACATCACACATGACTACGCGACCAACCCCACTCACAACTACGCGACCAACCCCACTCACAACTACGCGACCAACCCCACACATCACACACGACTACGCGACCAACCCCACACATCACACACGACTACGCGACCAACCCCACACATCACACAATACTCGACGATCACCACCAACTTTCACCCCAGTCAGTGGACAATACCCAACAAGAGTGACATACTAGCAACACTACCAGAGGCACAATACTCACGCCAGGACCCCGCCGTCCGCCCCAGAAACTGACTCGTCTCAGAATTCCAAATGAACTTCTTAAAATTACTCTGCTGGCCGGCATAGAGCCGCTGCCTGTCCTGGTCGCCCTCCATGGTGACAAGACCTACTAGACCACACTGCCGTGACCTGACCCCTCCTGCTGCTGCTGCTGCGGCACCTCCCCCCCACCTGCGGCACCTCCCCCCCACCACCACCACTCACCAGCGCATGCCTCACCCCTCAGGTAATAACACCACCTGCATCATGCCACCCCTGACCAGTCTGGGCCCCGGCGCCACACCTCTGGCCCTCCCTCGCCTCAGGGGCCCGCGCCACCATTAACCTAAATCGATACAAACTCCCGCTCAATACTCACTCCATGAGGTCCCCGTGCGGCCCAGGAACTCTTTCTTTTCAGAGTTCCATAAATACTTCTTGAAGCTGTCATCACGCTCAGCAATGTTTCTGTAGAGAGTGTTGTTGTCCGCCATCCTGGCTGGCCTCTTCCTCACTGCCGACTCCTGCCGCACTGATCAATACTCGGGCCGCTCCTTCCCTGCCAGGCCAGAGGCTCGCGTGCTAGCTACACAACCTAATGCTATAATTATCTTCCACAATTGACTTTCCTTCTACATAAATCTTTCAAATCCCTTTGTTTCTTGTTTGTCTTTACACGTAAACTTCATAGGTATATTATTTTAACATTTCAGATTTATATTATTGTTGTCGTTATTGCGTTTCTATGCTCGGATAGACTACACTTTTTTAGGGTACTTTTGTGAATGCTTACAGCCGACAATATTTGAGCAAAACGAGACACTGGTTTGAGTAACTATCCTAGCCTTTATTTATACAATATTTCTCAAGTCCTGATTACTACTCAACACGTTTCACCAAGCACTTAACCCACCCTCACCATAACTTATATTCTGAATACCAACTGTGAGTATTTTACTTCCCTGTAATTCTCAAACAAATAGTGTCATATATTGGCTAGGCAACGCGACCATCATGTCGTCCTGTGACCCCTAACAAACTCTAATTTAAATAATAATAATAATAATAATAATCATTATTATAATCATAATAATAATAATATATTCACAGGAAGGTACGATGGGCTGGTGAGATTACATAAGATTAGTATTTATACATTCAAGCAACGCCACTAACACTCATAGCGTTTCGGGCAGTCCTTAGTCTTAAAAATATATTTTAAATATTTTAAATATTAAATAAATATTTAAAATAAAAAACTTTAATTAAACAATATCAGGTAAGATTGATTTTTAATGAACAATTGAAATTGAAATTGAAATAAGTTTATTGATGTAAAATACACACAAAGGGATGAGGTAGCTCAAGCTATTCTCACCCCGTTCAGTACATCGTGTTAATACATACATAGACACACATCACAAACAATAAACATATTACCAAACATTCTGAGAGATAAATATATACATTTCCTAAATGAACAAAGTAAGGTATATACAGCAATGTGCTGCTACCCTATTCTACCTGAGATATTACCCAGTATAGATCAAGAACTAGCTAAAGGTTCAACTAATATTCCCATCTCACAGGATGGTTAGTCATACATGGAGTCAGGGAAGATAATACCTCCCTTAATACAAAAACAAATCAACTATGACTAAAAGGCGAGAACATAAAATGTGAGGCTGGTATATTAGCCCCCACTAGCAGTCTGGGCACAGCATATCAGGTGAGATGAAAAGGTACATTATAGCAAGGTTTTATATCAAGAAATAACTACAATAAAAATTGAGAGCGGTGATTGCACTGGTAAAGATATGTCTTAAGTACTAATATCGGGGAAGTGGGTAGTACAAGATACAGTGTGAGTTGGAAGCACAAGGTAGGAAACTATGAGGATGAAGTTAGGTACTTTTTGGTCTTATTTTTGAATAGGGTATTGGTTGGACAATTGTTTAATTCACCAGGAAGTGAGTTCCAAAGACTGGGTCCTTTTATTTGCTGGGAGTGTTTACACAGATTTAGTCTGACTCTGGGGATATTAAAGATATATTTATTCCTGGTGTGGTGCTCATGGGTTCTATTACACCTATCAAGGAAAAGTTTCAAATCAAGATTAGCATTTAGGAACAAGGTTTTATATATGTAAACAGCACATAAAAAATGTGTGGAATGGGTGTATGCTTAGTATGTTAAGGGACTTAAACAGAGAGACTATGTTGTCTGAAGATAAATAAATAAATAAATAAATATGTTTATTCAGGTAAGGTACATACATACAAGTAATGTTACATTAATGGATCGATATATAGATAGAGCTAGTACATACAATGCCTAAAGCCACTATTACGCAATGCGTTTCGGGCAAGAAAAACATTAATATCTAGAACATAATACTAATTGAGCATAAAGAATAAAATGTGTTGAGAACAAATACAAATAAAGATAAAAAAAGGGGGAACATGACTGAAAAAGCAGCACAAATACAATAGGTTGACAAACAGTGTTGATTAAAAAAAAATAACAGACATGGGTTGACAATAGAGGAGTGAGGTAGGTTACAGGGAATTTATTAGGTAGTGTTTAGTTCTTATCTTAAACTGGTTGAGAGAGGTACAGTCTTTAACATGGTTGGGAAGGTCATTCCACATTCTGGGTCCCTTGATTTGTAGAGCATTTCTAGTTTGATTAAGTCGTACTCTAGGAATATCAAAACTGTATTTGTTTCTGGTGTGGTGCTCATGGGTTCTGTTACAACCTTCTATGAAGCTTTTGAGGTCAGGATTGGCATTACAGTTCAGCGTTTTATATATGTATAATACACGAGAGAGAATGTGCAGTGACTTAATATCTAACATATTCAGAGATTTGAGTAGGGGTACCGAGTGATGTCTGGGGCCAGAGTTGCATATTGTCCTAATAGCAGCTTTGTGTTGAGTAATTAGAGGACGTAAATGATTTTGGGTAGTAGAACCCCAAGCACAAATACCATTGTTGAGATATGGAGTTAAGACAGAGATAAGACAGAGTTTGTTAGTGTTCTGAGAGCAGATTTTTGCTGGGTGATGATAGGCTTGAGGTAAGTTGCAGTGGCTGAACCCCATGCTCAGATGCCGTGTGTAAGATAGTGATAGATTATCGCGGAGTATAATGAGATGAGAGCAGAGTGGGGGAACATAATATCTGATTTTAGAAAGTATACCGACAATTTTTGAGACTTTCTTGGCTATGTGTTGTATGTGGGTGCTGAAGTTGAGTCTTGTCTGTGCATAGGCTAAGGAACTTTCCCATAGTTTTATTGGTAATATTGTGTATCAGAACCCGAATTTGATTTGATGATTTACTTCGAAATATAATGTAGTAGGTCTTTGCTATGTTTAGTGTGAGTTTGTTGGTTGACATCCACGAGTGGAATTTATTTTTAATTCATTATTGATATTATTATTATTTAGTGTGTGGGAGTTGGGGTCAGAATAGATGAAGGTAGTTATTACAAAAACATTAAATATATTATATATTAACATCCAAGCTATGGTGCAAATGTGAGAATTGTCAAAATGATGTATCTCTCATATATTAGGTCTCTGATTGATTATGCATCACCCATGCTTGCTCTAGTGCCTGAGAGAATGCTTGGAGGGCTGGAAAAGAGGCAAAACGAAACCATGAGGATTATCCTCGGATGCCTCCGTACAACTAAGTTACTAAACATGAGGAAGGAACTGAATATTTCATATGTAACTGTTCGTATCACTGAAATTAATGCTTTAATTGGTATCAAGAAGCTTAGGCTAACCCACCCTAACCCCTGCACTGAAGCCTTCCAAACCTTCTTCCTTGAAGGTCAGCATCCCTCCAAATGGATTACCAAAACTGCCACTGTGCTCAGTATGTATAACTTTCATCACCTCCACCAAGAGAGACAACTACACTTTCCTGCCCCATGAGAGATCACTCCTTTCCAAATTACTGTCCCCCCCCCCCTTTCCCACCCAAGAAGCTGATTAAAGAACAGTCCTTGCTTCGACAAGAAGCAAAGTACAATGCCTTAAGCCAAATTAATGCTTTAGTCAGAGAGCGCTCCCTTTCCCAGATTATTTACACTGATGGATCCTTGCATCAGTCCCATGGTGCAGCTGGAAGTGCAGTTGTTGTGACAGGGAGAGATGGTTCCTTCTCCCATGAGTGTGGAGCGCGTCTAAGTAACTGGGCCTCCACTCTTCAAACAGAATTGGTTGCCATAATCCTGGCACTCGAGCGCGTATATGAATCCAAAGTTGACACGCTAATTGTAAGTGACTCCTTGTCATCCTTGACTGCCCTCAGCTCCCCAAGGCATAACTGTGACGTGCTTATCTCTGAAGCTAGACACAGACATAATGAAATAATCAATGATGCAGTCAGAGTCTGTCTCCTGTGGATTCCTTCCCATATTGGTCTCCGAATGCATGATAGAACTGATGAGTTTGCCAAGACTTTTCCTCGTAAAGAGGGAATTGATTACCAACTTGGATTGCCTTTGAGCAGTCTGAGGGCAGCAATATCCTAGGAACATCAACTAAATCTCGTAGACTTGAGGCAAAGTGAAATTCACACCAGTTACTCCATCTATCATCATTCTATTATGCAGGAAGTACCGCACGTCTATGGGTCATCCAGTAATGTTAGCATACATCTAGATGTTACCACTGCTAGGCTTAGGCTCGGCTACAAGTACCTCTGGGAGTTTGTAACATCTGCTGATGTAGATTTGACTAAATGTAAACTCTGTCAGCAGAACTATTCGCATACTTTGCGTCATTATATAATGGAATGTGAAAAAATTGCGGAATTTAGAGATAACACTATCAATAGTGTCCAAGAAATGTGTAAGTACTTCATTCATAATGATGTGCTGCCCGAAACCTTAGCGAAGTATCCAAAATTTGCTTACTGTGGGTAATGCATGCACATGACTGTAAAGCTGCCGCCCAGTTGGGTGGGTGTGGAGCACATGACCGTAAAGCTGCCGCCCAGTTGGGTGGGTGTGGAGCACATGACCGTAAAGCTGCCGCCCAGTTGGGTGGGTGTGGAGCACATGACCGTAAAGCTGCCGCCCAGTTGGGTGGGTGTGGAGCACATGACCGTAAAGCTGCCGCCCAGTTGGGTGGGTGTGCAGCAAGACTAGTAACTGTGCGACTCATCATAGATGTAAAGTGCCTTGTATAGTGACTGTTGTGAGCCTCTTGTTGATCACTTGTGACACAAAAGATTATTGATGTGTGTATTTGTGTGGGTGATTAAATATGTATGTGTATATGTATACGTATATATATATATATATATATATATATATATATATATATATATATATATATATATATATGTACATGTATGTATGAGTATGTGTACATGTATATATAACATTAATAATTTTGTAACTAGCGTCAAAAGATTGTTATTTGCTTAGCTAAACGAACTAGAGGGTTCAGTTCCTGAACCGATTATGTGCCTCTGTAATCCTTCACACCACCGCCCACGGGATGTGTATGGGGTGCATAATAAAGAA